GCCAGTAACTAGCAGTGTACCACAGGGGTCCAATCCTGCTTAACATCTTCATTAATGATCTGGAAGATAGGGCAATACATACCCTCAGCAAGTTTGTTGTGTTGGCTATTCGTCTCAGTTTTGTGTCATCAGCAGAGGGTCATGATGCATCCAGAGAGACCTCAACAGGGTGGAGAAAGGGGCTGACAGGAAACTCATGCCATTCAACACAGAGAAGAGCAGAGCCCTGCAACTGGGCAGCAATAACCCCATGCACCAGTACATGCTGGGCGCTGACCTACTAGAAAACAGCTTTGCAAGCCAAATGCTGGGGATTCCAGTGGAAACCAAGTTGAACATAAGCCAGCAATGTGCCCTTGTGGCAAAGAAGGCTAATGGTGTCCTGGACTGCATTAGGAACAGTGTTACCAGCAGGTCAAGGGATGTGATCCTTCTCCCCTACTCAGCATTGGTGAGGCCATGTCTGGAGTGCTGTGTCCAGTTTTGGGCTGCCCATACTGGACATACATACTGCAGAGAGTCCAGCAAAGGACCACTAATGATCAGAGCACTGGCACATCTCTCATATAAGGAAAGGCTGAAAGCACTGGGAACGTTGCCTAGAGAAACGAAGGTTCAGGGGAGATGTTGAATGTGTACAAATAGCTGAAGGGATGGAGTTAAGAAGACAGAGCCAGGCTCTCTTCAGTGGTGTGTACAGGACAAGCAGCAATGGTCACAGACCACACAGAAGGTTTTGTCTGAACTTCAGGAAACAGTTTTTCACTGTGAGGGTGACTCAGTTGTGGCACAGGTTGCCCAGGGAGGTTGCAGAGTCTCCTTCCTTAGAGATATTCAAAAGCAGTCTGAACACGGTCCTGAAAAACGTGCTCTAGGAGGTCCTGCTTAAGCAGGAAGGTTAATGACCTTCAGAGTTTCTTTCGACCTCAACCATTGTGTGATTTTGTGAAATGGTGTTTCAAGACTAATTGAGACTAAGCCATTACACTGTTTGGCTAAATATTCTCATGCTCCTCCATCAGCAATTTTCAGTGATTAGGCTAATTTAATTTGCTATGAATATCGGCGTATATTTATACAATATAATGACCTAGATAATTAGAAGATATTCCCAGATTTATCAAAACCTGACACACAATTCTTCATAAATCATTACCTCACCTCCTGCTCACAACTTGTTGTATTTTCAATTTTAGTTCTTGCTTCTCCTAAACGTATCAGCAATTAATATAGTAACCTCTTTTCATTACTAGTTTTCACCATAAGCATGATCCGTTAGCAGAGAAATCCATAAGAATTAAAGTACCTATCTGACTCACAGGAAAAACAATTTGGATTAACAAGACGAGAATGTCACTGAATGACTATTTTAACATTACTCTGGCAATATGACTATCAGAGCATGCCTGCTCCCCTTCACTCCTTATCCCCTGAAATGCAAAACAGTTAATACTCTGATGCAGGTCCAGCTCAGATCCACAAACCCAAAACCTTTCATCTTAAGAAAAATCAAATCCCAAAAATCACATTTAGTGCAGTTTACACAGTAATTGATTTAAAACAAAATAATGAGACACAGATTATGAAAATGCTTGTCAGTTAATCAAAGCTTGGAATAAACATTAGTTTCTTCTTTTGTAGAAAGTGTTTAGTTGATTACAGCAGTATTGCTTTTAGGCTGTCCTTAGTTTACTGCAGAGGAAACTGGATACCTGTAGATGAGCCATATTACTTGGAATAGTAAAACTAGAAGCATATTTTACTAGTATATACTAGCATACTAAACTGAATTTGTAGGTTAGAGTCATATTCCTAAAATTGAACCAGTCCTCAAAAAGTTGATTCTGTGAATCAGAAACAGGTATTCAGATATTCAGTAGACAGATGAGGAAATATGAAACCCGTTTGTAGTCAGCAAATGGAAAGCATAGGAAGGTTTCCTAGAAATACAGAAACCTTAAATGAGCTGTGTCCTGTTTTGTCTTTAGTCAGGAAAGAAAAAAATTGTAATAATAATGGGGACCCTTTATGATATTCAAAATATGAACTTTAAGTATTTGTTTGTTTCAAAATTACAAATGTATTTTCTCAAAATATCTGCATGCATAGCTACACATTTGTATTAAAATTTTAACTGTTTTGCATTGGTATAAATGCTATTAAATCCAGATTTTTTTGGTATCACAATGATATAGTAAAAGAAAGCTGGTTATTGTAAATTTACTACGTTTCACAAACTAGAATTCACCTTAGGTTTTTTTTAAATAAAGGGCACAAACTGCCCTATCACCTATGCTGTTAACAAGAAAATTACAAAATGTAGGTTCCAGCTTTGTAAAGAACAGTCCAGCTTTTAATTTGGAACAGTCACCACAGTAAATACTTCTAAGGTATTCCCCTCCAGGCTCTTGCACTCCATTCAAAGAATTATCTCCTAAAAATGTCAAAAAGCAGTATCCCAATATTATCTCTTATCAGATTAAATTCCTCATGCATCTTCTTTCTAACAGAACCACAGCTACTGGAAATTTCTCTTGCCTGGTTTCAACACGTAATGGCACTAATTCATATAATAGCAGCATCAGGAAGTATAAGAAGAGAACGAGCAAGGTAACAGGCTGAAATAAATATGGTAATTCTGATACAAATTCAAAACATATAATGTTTAACAGCGCACCATTTCTCAGGAAAACAACTACCTTCATCTTTGCTTCCCACTCCCACTCCAACCCCTCAAAGTTAGTGAAGCAGTAGGAGGCAAAAATGAAGAGTAATTATTTTCTATTAAATAGAAGACTGATATTTAATTAATTTAAAGGTCACCAGAATACATTCTATCTCTTTACAGCCTCTTTGTCCCCACAAGAAATAATGTTTTCTAATTTATCTTTCTTTTTAAGAAATCATAACATCCACTCTTGAGTAACTATTTAAATAAAAAATAAAATAAAAAAAACACAACCAAAAAGTACCTGTGGCTGAAATGGTGGAGCAGTAGGCCCCTGCATGCCTTGTGACTGTTCATCCATTCTGTCACATAAAAGCGTCCCTTATGTCCTGGAAAGAGAAATACAGTCATTACACTGTAATTCAATCTGTATTTATGATCAACAAACATCAGCAGAGGAACTGAAGAATTCGTTTTCTCATTTGCATGCTTGAGTTTACTGAAATTTAACTATTCCAGCCCTGCACTGTTTCGGAAAGAAATGTTCAGCTGTTCTATAAAATAAAATAAATCACTACACACATCTGAACTTATTACTAAAAGACGTGCATTAAACTATTGAAGTTAGACAAATGGCTCTGTCTGATAAAAACCGCATCATCCCATTATTCTTCACAGGCACCAAACACTTGTTTAACTACATATCTATCACTGGCCAGTACCTTAGACCTACAGGCAGCACGGGAGATAGATCAGCAGAAGAGTTAAAACCACTGCACGCCTACTCTTTAGTAAAATCTACAGATAAATTAATGCAAAATGAGTATGCAACAGTAATTCTATATAACTAGAAAAAAGCTAAACACCAACACTTATTACATTCTGTTAAGCTACCTAAGAGGGCTTTGAGATACGATATTAAAAGCACAGCCTCTGTTCCCAACTATGAACCTCTCCTATCCTATCTCCTAAGATAGGAGGAAAGATGCCTGTCAAGTTCCCAACAGAGGAACACAAGGCTCTTACCAATAATAAGGGTTGCAAAATGTCCAGAATCATTATTAGGAAGAACAGGAGAGACAAAAATGCAAACACTTATTAGGCTTTTTTCTCAGCTAAACTAATCTTTTGTTAGGCCACGTGACATTTTGCTGAGGGATATCAGATGCAGCACCCAGTTTCAGTGGTGCCCGTGAGGGCATTTCTGTTCAGATGAAGGCAACAGAAAGTTCATTGGCAACTTCAAATGCAAACAACGAAATGGACTTGTATACAAACAGGAGGCAAACCCTGAACAGCTTTTTGACCATACAAACATGAAGTGTCTCTGCCTGGTCAAATCTGCCAAGACCTTCAGAGGAAAAAGAGTCACGTGTCTGACTAGAAACCTATTCTTGCTTTTTAAATTCTTTTTTATTTATTTATTTTCCTATTTCCTGCTCCAAATCCCAAAAAGTCTAGAGATGCCTTGACATAAAACACTTTTCTGATACCTCTTAATCTCTAATATTGGGAAATTTCCTGTGATAAATTTATTCTGATAAATCTATATACTGCAAACATATAAGAAACTCTGCCAGATAGCTTGTGTTCACAGTACTGCTGTCACTGTTACAGCATCAGTGTGGTAATGTCACTAATAGATAAAATAGCTTTGCAAACTTTCTCAATATCTTGCCCCAGGCACACCGGAAATGATGAGTGACAGTCAACATGGCCTCACTAAGGGCAAATCACGTCCGACAAATTTGGTGGCCTTCTACAATGGGGTTACAGCATTGGTCAGTAAGGAAGAGCAACTGACATCATCTACCTGGACCTGCACAATGCATTTGACACTGATTCCTTGAGAAGGACTTGGGGGTGTTGGTTGATAAGAAGCTCAACATGACCCACCAATTTGCACTGGCAGCCCAGAAAGCCAACTGCATCCTGGGCTGCACCTAAAGAAGCGCAGCCAACATGTTGAGGGAGGTGATTCTACCCGACTCTTGTAAAACTCCACCTGGAGTACTATGTCCAGCTCTGGGGAACCCAACATGAGAAGGACATCGATCTGCTGCAGCGAGTCCAAAGGAGGGCCACAAAGATAATCAGAGGGCTGGAGCACCTCTTCTATGAGGACAGGCTGAGAGAGTTGGGTTTGATCTTTTGGAGAACAGAAGGCTGCTGGAAGCCTTCCAGCACTTAAAGGGGGCCTAAGGGTGAGACGGGGAGGGACTCTTTATCAGGGAGTGTAGTGATAGGATGAGAGGTAATGGTTTTAAACTGAAAGAGGGAAGACTTAGATATTAGGAAGAAATTCTTTACAGTGAGGGTGGTGAGACACTGGAACAGGTTGCCCAGAGAAGCTGTGGATGCCCCATCCCTGGAACTGTTCAAGGCCAGGCTGGATGGGGCTTTGAGCAACTTGGTCTAGTGGGAGGTGTCCCTGCCCAGGGCGGGGGGGGGTGGAACTAGATGATCTTTAAGGTCCCTTCCAACCCAAGCCATTCTATGATTCCATCATTCTATTGCAGATATTTATCCAAGACTAATGAAGCCTAAGATGAAACGTTTAGATGATGTATGTTTTTGCAGGTACTATGTAACCCACTCATTTTATCTGAATGGTCAGACACACTGATTGGAAGTGTTTGGGAATTTGTCTCTTTTTTTTTTTTTTCCTTTTAAATTTGAGGAAAAGGTAGAAAAGGGAGAAGTCACATCATTACCACTGCCAGTGGCTTTGTCCTCTCCGGCTCATTTTTATAATCAAAGCAAGCAAACTAAAGAGGTAAAAAAAATGTTCTACCATAGGAAGCATGGAAAGATTATTAACTTGTGGATTTATTGTTACTTTTGCAGAGGAAAGGTAAAAATCAGTATTTTTTTGTCCATATATGGAAGTTCTTTTCTTTTTTTAACTTGTTTTTGTCTTTGAAGACTGCATGATAGAATCACATTTTAGAGTAATCCGGCATTTTGATCATACAAATGCCAAAGATGCAAAAAAACGCCAAGGATGCAAAATGAATCTTTTGCTTATGTTTATCAACATAAGCAAGAAATACATTTTGCTCCTTGAAGACTTGTTTTCACAGTGAGGCATGCCTTTCACCTTGATAATAAACTCCAGAGATCAAAACATAGAGGTATAATATTTATCATCTTTAAATTTAAATTGATACAATAATTACTACTCTTCCAAAGATGGTTTTCAAGTTCTAATTTATGGTGAAAAGACACTAAAAATACTGCCAAAGAGTCATCACTTGTTTAAAAACCAAAAAGCAAATACAGAACACATTTAAATGTGACATGTCTATCACATATTTAAACAAGTGATTTGATGACCTTCTTCTGCAAATCCATCACCATGATACACATTGGTTCATGGAAACAGACAACAGATCAAGTGAGAGGGAAGCCAACTAAACCATCACCACCCAAAAATTCCGAAGTGCCAAACACAACTAATGTTTTTAACCGCTCTCACACTGATCATGTAGGAGGAAAGGACTTCTTGTCTTCACTGTACCACTTGGCAAAGATAGTAACAGTGAAAGACTCTCTGAATCATTTATCTTGCAAAGATGAATTTAACCGTTTTGAAGACGAAAATCATTTGGATTCAGGCCAACCTGTACACAATGATGATCACAGGAACACAAGCATATACACCAAATCTTAGACTTATGGTTGCTAATACTTGGCAGGTATGAGAAGACTTTTGGTTAACCACTAATGCTTTAAATGTCTTTTTCAGTTGATCAGAACAGTAGGTGCCACCTAAATACAAAAGATGCAGGATGAACTATTAGGGGAAACAGTCAACACAACCCGTTTTTCATTTGAAATTCCAATTGCATAGCAAGTCCCTTAATTGACACTATTTACTCCATGCACTGAGTCCACCATACAGCAAAAGGAAGATAAACCCTCACCAGTAAATCATCTTACCAAACTGTAACTGCCTGAACTGGGAATAACACCTTTTCCTTTCTTCATACACAGGCCTCACTTCCTTAGTGGCCACACGTCAAAGCTCTCTGATACCTGCCCACACACCTAAACATCACACAAAGTCACAAAGTAGCCCAAAATGCAATGCACCCCAACAGAAGCTCACACCCCACAATCAGCACTCAGCTTTTTAGTTGGTTTCCTCCAGCCTGCTAGAGGAGGTGAGACTACCCACAACTCTGATAGTAAAATCAGAGCAGAGGACCTACTCCTGAAAAGGAATCAGAGCTCACTGCTGACTTTTCACTGGAATAGCCTTTAAAATAACAGTTTTAAAATAAAAAAGAAAAAAAAAAAAAAAGATATCTGGGAAAAAAACTGAAATCCTTATGATTTCAGGCCTTGCAACTAAGTCTATACAAACATGATCAATTTCAGGACAAAAAGCTTAAATACACTGCTTAATCACATGAAACATGCTTCTTAAACACCATTTTCATAGCTCAAAATCCGTAAACTATTCACATTGAAAAACATTTCACGGTATTCAGGCAATAATATTATTGCTTTAACAGATGGCTGTTCCACAACAACAAAAAACCCCAATGTTTTCCCATAGAAAATATGATAATAGTCACAATGAAACATGTTTTCCATTAGCTACATGCTATACACTATTGTTTGTTAAATTGGGATCTTAAGTAGGGACATTCAATAATCAATGTCAAAGAAGAAACAGCTATACTTTAAAAAAAAGTATATACTTACAAGAATATTCAGTGTTGCGGTTCTGCTGAGAATCTTAATGTCTCAGTCTTTTTTTTTTCCTGCAGAATATAGATGTAACTACTTCACATAATTGCTAACACAGAGCAACACGAAGTTACTCTGTTCACAATGTACTGATCAGGCACATGGTCTCTTTAGTTGCTGTTCACAAAGGACGGAATGTACTATGTTTACTTCTGGATTACACCATCAATTAAAGCAGGTATTTTTAGTTTTTACTATAACCATTACACTGTTTTAGTTAGGTTAGAGCCAAGGCCCTACAGAAACAACTATCCATTTAATGCTGTACATAGTCCTTCCTTTTTGGTGTCAAAAAGTTAGATTCTTCAGCAACTAACACACATTTTAGATGATGAATTTTATATCCCTAAATTTTTCAACTATCTTTACTAACTAAATTCAACGATAACGATCATCCTCAGCTGAGGGAAAACAAAAACACCACACACCAACAACAAACCATATATTAATACTAGTTTCCATATAAAAATACAGGCTACAGGAATATTCCCATTTGCTTATATTACACGTTAACTCTCAGCTACCCAAAGGGACAATTTAAAACTAGACAGAACATTCAGTAGTCACTCTGGTTGAAACCCAAAGAAACCTATGCTCTGGAAACCAGGGTTTAGATTTCTAAATGCCTTACTGAATACCCAAACCAAAAAGCAACACACAATTACCCATCTCACCACGTGGGTGCTAATCCCAGCGTTCATGCCAGGGAGCCCAAGCACGCCGCTCTGATTCCAGCTCTGCTCTCTGACATAACAGCAACTCTCAGCTCCCCAATGAAAACCACGTACCTTTTGGGAGGAGACAACGTTTAGACCCTTTTTCCCTTTGCTAACACAGCAATAATAGCTTGGCCCTCAAGCCCGTTGTGAGCAGGTTAAGAAACAGGCACCCTACTGCTTTATAAAACATACTGCCTTAACATTACTCTTTATCTCTCCTAAGGAAAAAAGCTTAGCTCTTTGGAGGGAACTGGCTTCCTGGTCAAATCTGGCCCACACTTTGGCAGGTCACTTTCTTCAGCACCCACTCAATGCTGGAGCCAGGGTGCGGGTTGCAGTTTATGAGTTTTCAAAGTGATTTTAAAAACAGGGGCTCAAACTCACTTGGGGAAGGTCCTGGATGAAGCCAGAGTTATGCTGACAGCTGTAAACCAAGCATCCCGATTTTATCATTCACATTACACTAAATGACAGTGCAGCTGTGTGTTTTTCAAATAAATGGGAAGTCAGAAGTCATGGCCAATAAAGCAAACTAACCTGAAATACAAATCTATCATAATTCTTTAACATTAGAATGTACTTTTTCTTGGTGTTCTGCTTAAACCATTGAAGGGGAGAAACACTTATCTCTTGATGTCATAATAGAAACATTTTATTTGCAAAGTGAAAGTCACTTCAGTTTCATAGATAATATTTTTAGAGCATTCCTCAAGACTGGGAAATACTTAGAAAACAACAGTCCCCAAAAGGACTCTGACATGTCCACAGCCTTTATACACTTCCTGTATGTGAGTATCTCCAAAAAGCACCAGAAAAAAACCACACCCCTAGCAGTTCGCCTAAAACTCTGCTCTCTCACTTCAAATTGGTTTTGTTGTGGTCCCCCAACTGCCCACCCTAGAATGTAACTGGAAAGATGAAACTCACATGATTTTAATTAAAAAAATAAATTTCCAAATAATAGGAAAGACAGCTAGGACATACACAGCACCTTTTCAGTAAACTATTCCTGACTAATATAGACCACTAAGATGAAATCTGGTTACACACACCCATAGGCCATCCATTCATAAAGTTACACACTCAGCTTAAAGACAGCATTAGAAATGCTGAAATAATGCTGAAACATTTTAAATATTTAACAATAATAGCCAATCAATGCCTTTCCACTAAACTTCATGAGCTGTCATTGGTCATGCTCCTTCCCACCCCACACTGTCCATTTCTGAAAAATACTAAACTTTTTATTGGTCTGCTGTTAATCACAAATTATGAGAAAATACAATGCATAATGTAACACAGTCAATAAAAATTACAGTAATTTATAGTGCAGTGCAATGTTGCTGATTATTTGAACTACTCATTTATTCAATGAACAAGTAATTTATATGCACCAAATAATTACCACACTAGCTTATTATATGCCAAATAATTACCACACTAATTTATTTTTCTCCTTCCTTGAATAGTTGTTAGATATATACATTAATGAAGCAACGTGTATTTAAGTTACAACTTATTTGAACTCTGTCAAGACAATCAAGACCTTAATTGGCAACGGACAAAGTAAACTCAAGACTGGAGACCAAGTCAATCATTAGCACAGCAAAATCTGTTATTTATCCCAATTAGTATACATGCATATATATATGCACACACACATATTAAAGCACTGAAAGTGATTGAATATAGATGTATATAAAGAAGTAGAATTAGCCTTTAATTTTAGAAACAACTTATAAAAGCTTTTCATTTTTTAAAATACTATCCCCCCCGCTGGATGGTAGGACATTCCTCCCCACGGTAGGGACAGCCTTGAATGTGGACAACACAAATTCTCAGCACTTGTTAATCTAAAAGTAACTTGTTAATCTAAAAGTAACTTGTTAATCTAAAAGTAACTTGTTAATCTAAAAGTAACTTGTTAATCTAAAAGTAACTTGTTAATCTAAAAGTAACTTGTTAATCTAAAAGTAACTTGTTAATCTAAAAGTAACTTGTTAATCTAAAAGTAACTTGTTAATCTAAAAGTAACTTGTTAATCTAAAAGTAACTATCATCTATCTATATGGTAATAACTAATACTGAATTTTTCCACAAATTTATGTCCAAATTAGCTACTGATGGGCAGCTCAGTCAAAAAAGCCAAAAACCACACAGACAGTTAAGCTGGGTTAAGAGTTGGTTTTAGCAAGAGCAGAATTAACCATACACAAATAAAATCTACCTACCAAAAAAAGTAAGGGAAAAGGCTAAGAGTTCACATGCACTTTTCTCATCCATCTGCCCCAACCTATCAGGCATATTTTCATCCCAAACCCTGAGAACTCAGGTGCCAGTCACCTTTATTCCCCAACTACAAAGATTTTGTTCTTTATCAGTGCTGACTAGAAAGTGAAAGTCCAAGTCCTCCTGCTTCACAAGTCCACTCCCCTTCCTCTTCATTCATTTGCACAATGTAAAAATTTGTATTTAATTTACTTTTGCCTCTCCCTTTTAATTATGTCACTCAAGCAGATTGCTTATCTTGTGAGGTGCTCCTAAAGGGTTGTACATGCACCAACTTGCCCTTTTTTAAACTGGTAGGTATTTCATACAAACCAAAGAAGAACCAGGAACTGAAACTGCTTGGGCAGCAGGCTTCTACATTGTCATTTCACTTCTATTCACCTGGACAGAAATTTCATAACCCATTTCTTCATACTGAGTAGCCAGTTATAAGTGATACACTTAATTCCCTGCAAATCTTTTCACTGTGACATGATCATGATCCACATATGGCACCTAACCACAGCTCTATCAACAACCCCAATCCCCTGCCCACATCACACCCTGTTGCGCTGCCGCCTCTGTAAGGATACAGTCTTAAGACAGCGTGGACCGATTATGTGATGCTGCTGCTTCCCTGGCCTTCAGCCATGACTTCCAGACCCTCTTCCTCTGAGCAGCATTCCTGTGGCTACCCAAACTCCTGGTAAGGTAATTGAAATTAGCTGAAAACTAACCCCAACAAAAGTCACTTTCTTCCAGTTCAGTTCCCTGAATCATTCCATTACAAAGACAAGGATGTGACATGAGACACAAAGACAGTGGGGAAGACATAGCTGGGGGTAGAGCAGCCCTAACTTGGATCAGTTCAATCTATTGTCAAAGTACATCACTAACATGAAATTATACAAGCCAATCCAATAGCTCACCAATGTCCTGGTCCCGTTGGGACAGGGTTACTTTTTCCAAGGAGCTGGAGCTGTACACAGCCAGGTTGGCTGATCTAAACCTGCTAAAGGGGTATTCGATGCCACGTGAGCCATACTCGGTACAGAGCTGGGGGAGCTGGCCGGGGGGGGGCAGGAATAGCAGCTTGGGAGCAGGCTGGGATTCAGGTTCTAGTCAGTGAGCGGCTATACATTAATCATGTTTTGTACATTCCTCTATCAGTATTGTTGATGCTGTTTTCCTCTTTCCTTCACTCTTTTGTTAAACCGCCTTTATCTCAACTCACATGGGCAGTGCAAAAATCTCAAAAAGAGGGGAGACTAAGAATAGACTATCGTGGCCTGAATGAAGTCACATCCCCACTGAGTGCTGCCGTGCTGGACAGCCTGGAAACTCTCTAGGAAGTGGAGTCCATGGCAGCCAAGTGGTGTGCCACAGCTGATAGTGCCACTTCATTTTTCTCAATCCCCTTGGCAGCAGCGTGCGGGCCACGGTTTGCTTCCCCTCAGAGGGGCATCCAGTACACCTAGAATCGACTCCCCAGGGGTGGAAACACAGCCCCACGATTTGCCACAGGCTGATCCAGACTGCACAGGAACAGGGTGAAGCCCCAGAACATCTGGAGTACATTGACAACATCATCGTATGGGGCAACACAGCGGAAGAAGTTTCTGAGAAAGGGAATAAAACAGTTCAAATCCTTCTGATAGCCAGTTTGGCCATAAAAGGTCCTGCACAAGAGATCTAGTTTTTAGGAATAAAATGGCAAGATGGACATCATCAGATCCCAATGGATGTGGCCAACAAAATAGCATCTATGTCTCCACCTAGTAAAGAGGAAATACAAGCTTTCCTAGGTGTTGTGGGGTTTTGAAGGATGCGTATCCCAAGTTACAGTCTGATTGTAAGCCCTCTGTATCAAGTGACACGGAAGAAAAAGTTATTTTAAATAGGGCCCTGAGCAATGACAAACCTTTGAATAAATTAAACAGGAAATAGTCCATGCAGCAGCTCTGGGGCCAGTCCAGGCAGGACAAGATGTTAAAAATGTGCTCTACACAGCAGCTGGGGAAGAACGGCGCTACCTGGAGCCTCTGGCAGAAAGCACCAGGGGAGACTTGAGGTCAGCCCCTAGGGTT